GCCCGGGGCCGGCGCCCCCCACCCCCCACACGCACCATGCGCCCGGGGCCGGCACTCCCCCCCCAAGCACCGCACGCCCGGGGCCGGCGCCCCCTGCAAGCGCCGCGTGCCCAGAGCGCGGGCGGCCAATCCGCGGCGCTCCCGGGGCCGGCGCTCACCGTGCACCATGTGCCTGGGGCCAGGCCAGCCCCAAGCACTTGGCGGGCGCATACAAATGCCCCCGCGGGGGCCATGGTGCCCGCGGGCACCGTGTTGGGGACCACGGGTCTACACTGTGACACTAGCTTATTTTGAGCTTATTTCTAGATAGTCTATTTCGAAATTTGGTGCTGTCTACGCAATTTTGGAAATTTTGAATTTTGCCAAATTTTGAAATAGACCACTATTCTGACAAATCTCTTAATCCTTGTGGAATGAGGTTTACCAGGAAGTCAGAATAGCAAACCTGTTATTTCAATTGCTTTTTGAAATAATGGGCATGCTGTGAAGACACTGAAAACGTTATTTCGGGATAACAGCTGTATCCCAAAATAGCACTGCAGTCTAGATGTACCCTAAGTGAAGCATTCAGTTACAGACCCAAATGTTTACCCTGAAAGCCCAACACCAAGTGTTCCACATGAAACTGATGACTAAGAAGAACAAAAAAAAATCACCTAACACAGTAACATAGCTATCACAGGTTACTTTCCCCACTCGAATGAGGCTAACTGGCTGATTCAAGCCATATGTTTTAATCATCATGAAAACTAGACTGATTTCCCTCTTGTCTTCCAACCGCATTTTAGTATTGGCCAACAAACCTACAGCTAATGCTACAGTTTCTGTAATACACATTGGCTGTGTGGAAACTACAGTTTCCCCAAAGGGATAGCAGTGAGTGGTTTACATTTTGGGGTCAGACCAGGAAAGCCCTCTTTGTTTTTTTTAACTTGTATCTTCAAGCCAACTTTGTGGCGTTAAGTAGATACAATTAGTGTCAAAGCAGAGTTTTCCCGTAACTAGCCTATGAGCTGTAGTTTTTATGGGAGTTCTTTCTATTATGGATTACCAGCAGTTTAGGATATTTTCCAGCTGGAACGAAGCAGTGCACACTCAGTCAAATGAATGATTCTAAGCTAAAGCCTTTTAAGCACAGGCATAAAACAAAAGCCCCATCCCCTGGATACAACTTTCAGCTTGGAAGTGAGAGCAAACAAGACATTTCCTATTCTTTCCAAATGTTTTTCCCAGGCAGTAAATGAAGTTGTTCTTATAACACCCAAATAACTCATTGTACACCATCCCACAATCAAATAGACTCAAATCTTACAGGGTCTCTAACTTCCAGTTGCAGTGCGCTTTAACATGACTCCTCCCAGTTTAGCCAGTGGGAAGCTCCCCTTTGGCTTACCTCACAGAATTGTTTTCACCAGATCAGGAAGCTTCTCTTACAAGTCCCAGCTGCAGTAGCATAGAAGTTACACAACCACAAGCCATGGGTAGTCATGAAATTCTATAAAAATGTGCTACCACCAGTTTGGATGAACTAGGGTTAGTATTGGTGGGAGCCCTGGAGAGAGACTCCACTACCTGGTGATGTCTCTTTTAACTGTTTGCTACTAGTTGGCAATTTCCAGTTTGTTTGGTAAAAAGCAATTGTCTGCAAGGAGACAGCTGTCCTGCTGGCTGCGCTACCTAGGCTGTGGCAGGAAGCAGGCTTTCTTAGTTTTGGCAACTGGCTGAGAGAGGCACGAAGAGGAGACCAAAATTCCCTGTGGATTTCCTCTTTCAGAGACATCCCCTACTGCTGAGTGTTGTGGAATCTTCCAAGGACACTGTCACTGTCTCCTGAATTGTCTCAGCAGTGGCATGTAAACTATATTCCTTTGCTATCCCTGTCTGCCTCCCAAGCACAGCCATGCAAGTCTTTTGGAATGAAAACTAGTAAGCTGTGGCGCAGTCTCTATGGAAGCCATGTGGAAGCTCCATTGTCTGGGACACTTAGAACCAGTATAGGCACAGCAACTGGCACCTTAGATGAACCATGCAATCGGCACTCCCACCTACAAACCCCTCAATGATATTGCACTTGAATATGGCGCCTCATTTAACTTGGTGCACTAGGTGACCGCCTAGTTCACCTATATGGACAGGCCGCTCCTGGACACAGCATCAGAAGACCTAGGACGCAGTCCTGCACTGGACAAGGATGTATGAGATGATTTATTAGGTCTTTTTGGTCCTAATTTCTATGATCCTATGAGCAAACCTCAAACATTGCCTATCTTACCTGCGCACCACTAACTGTCTCTGGCTTGGTGTGGTCCTAGCAAGCCTATGACACAATTGGGTGCACCCCAAACAGAAAACCCAACTTAATGGGAGCAAAATTAATCTATTCAAACAAGAACCTAGTTCACATAGACCCTCTTCAAATCGTTTTCACCTACATTTCTTTCCCCTCATCTCTCTATCCCCAATCCCAACCTCTGTCTGGGTATGTCTACACTAGCTCGTTAATTCAAGCTAGGTAGGCAAATTAGGCGACCAGAGTTGCAAATGAAGCCCAGGATTTAAATATCCTGCGCTTTATTTGCATGTTCCCGTCCGGTCGCCATTTTGAAATTTCACTAGCCCGAACTCACTGCCGCGTGGCTACACGCAGCAATGAGTTCGGGCTAGTGAAATTTCAAAATGGCGACCGGACGGGAACATGCAAATAAAGCGCAGGATATTTAAATCCTGGGCTTCATTTGCAACTCTGGTCGCCTCATTTGCCTACCTAGCTCGAATTAATGAGCTAGTATAGACATACCCTCTCTGACTTACTCTCTTCCTCTCTTCTACCTATGAAGTATTACTCTCTAAAGGAAAAATACTCTCTTCAATTAAAAGCCTGTTATTGTGTGTTACCCAGAGTTCTTTCTTATGGATGAGAAACTCCAGACTTTTGGCACATACAAGAAAGAGTCAGTCGTTTATCAGAAGACAGATTTCTTTGAAATGCCTCAGCGAACACCTCCCCACTGTAAGCCACTCCTAATAGAATTCACCTCAGTCACTTAAATGCTTTTTTCTATCTCCTCAATTACAGCTAAGTAAGAGGGCAATTAGCTTTCAACAATTAAAATGATTTACTTACTTCATCTAACAGCCGGAGCATCTCCACATATCTGCAGAAAGAGAGAGATTTGTATTAAGTGCCATCAAGCTACCGCTGAATGAATCAGGGTAGAATGTGCAGCTTCCTTTACAAAATAACAGCCAGATCTGAAGAGTGAACTCACACTTTCTCTGAAGACATCAACTCCTGGGCAATCAAGTAAGCTCTGGACTTTCCTTCTTTCTGTGGAAAAGAAAACCACAGATATTAAGAAATGTCCCACCCCAAAACAGAAACAGTAAGGGCTCTAAAATGCCCACAATTTATGATCTTTGAATCTGCGGCGGGGATACTGCTTAGCAGAATGGAGTCTTGCTCCACAACTGCAGTTCTTAGGTGCTATCTCAATACAAACAAACAAATAAATAAGATAGTCTGAAATGGGGTCATACTCTGTGTTCAATAAATTGTTTTTTGTGGCTATGAAGAAAGAAAATTCCCATTGATTTCAATAGGGCAAGGATTCAGCTGAAAGAAAGGCAAACAGATTCTTCCAAGATCGCAGGAGGCAAAGCTCACTGAATTTGCTGAGGCCTCTCTCGTGTGCAAGGAAAAGTGTTTTGGGGTTTTTTAAATAGTTATATTTCAAACTGTTTCCATTGTAGTGCAAGCTAATGAAGCAAACAAGTTCCAAGGGCTTTATTGCATGATAAGCAAATTGATGAAATTAAATGGTGATAAATATATCCTGAAACCAAACAGTGCTGTACTAAAGCAAATAACAATTTGGAGATCACCATGGAATGCACTTAAGTAGCGAAGATCTCAGAGGATGCAGAAAATTGTCAAAGCAGCAATGGCAATGGCTCTCCAAGGCTCAAGAGGCTAATTATGATGCTTTGCTCTGGTTTCATGCATTATTTGTTTTAAATCTATTTATTTATTTAATCTGTTTATTTATTTAGGAAGTGTTTACGAGGCTTACAGATCATTGCCATGTAAAAATCAGTGCCATATAAACATCAGACACAAAAAGTTAATCATTACAAGAGTGAGCTTTTATTTAGAGAAATATTATACAGTGATATAATCAGCAGATCCCTCTACTAAAAGGGTTTTTACCATATTACAGAGTGAGCCTCTTTATCAAGGTAAGAAATGAGCAAAGCATTGACACCTTTATTGAGAAAGAAATCTTATACTAAAGTGCCTTTGACTTGTACAACAGGGATAATAAAGCAAGGAAGCAGCCTTCAGTGAACAGAAGGCCACACAAGGTGCCATTTGTTCTGAACAGGCAGAAGACAGCAACAAATGTATTGTTCAAAGGGATCAGGTGTGCCATTTATCCATTGCTGAAACAGCCTCCTTTAGAAGGTGTACAGTCGAGCAGCTGGGAGACGCTGAGCTGTCATGCATTTAGCTGGTTTAGATGCTGAGCTGTCGTGCATTTAGCTTTTAGTTTGTAACTTTAAAAACAACAAGTAGTCCTGTGGCACATTAGCCCTGATCTACACTAGGGCTTTATTTCTAAATCCATCTGCCTTTGGTCTAATTTATAAGTGGAGAGTCCGCACTACCAAGTCCATTATTTCAAATTAAGGGGACGCTTATTAGAAATCTGAACTCCTGTTTTTCTCAGGGAATAAGGCTAATTTCGAGGCTTCCTCATAGAGGGAACATGCTATTTCGAAAATCAGGAGATAAGTCAAAGTTAGTTATTTCAAAATAGTTTTCTGGTGTGGACATGGCCTTAGAGACCAGCAGATATTATCATGAGCATTTATGGGTAAAACCCACTTCATCAGAGAAATGTCATGCAATGTAGCTGTAATTCACATGGAAACACATCACCATCATGACCACCAGTTCTGGATGAGAATTGCTTGGGTTTATGGGGATCATGGTGCAATCGTTTAATTCACTCCCTGAATGAAGAACATTTGTAGGGGCCTGGATAAAAATTCCAGATTCAAATGCCATCAATCTTTGCTAAAGTTTAGAGTACATTCAAGCTTTGCAGTTCATCTCTGATATTTAAACACGGCAGTAATAGAAGTATGAACAGTAATTCCCCAAGTCCCCCAAGACATTTGCATTTCTGGAAAAGTAATCTGGTGACTCCAGAGGTTTTTTTTAATTCAAGGTTTCTGCTCCGTCTTCCTTTCAGTCAGGCTGGAAATAAGAAACTTTGGTTTCAAAACAGCTTAGAGAAGATTTAAGCATTCCCTGGAAGTGCAGGAAACTGAAATCCAGTAGTATGACTGCACCAGGAAAACTCAGTAGTATGACTGCGCCAGGAACTGCACCAGGAAAACTCAGATGCAAAATTGACTGAAATGAAACCGAACAATCTCATTTTGATGCTCAGTGTTAATAAATCACAGAAAATAATTGGAATAAGTAATCAAAAATAATTTTAAAAATTCTTTCAAGTTTTATGGTGCTGCTTACTACACAAGTAAGGATCTTTTTTAAATTAGTGCATATTTATGTTGTGTGTCCCTTTAATATAAAATTGTGCAGAACCTTAAAACAGTCTATTTCAGAGCAACAGAGGATTATTGAAAACACGCTGCATATTTTATTTTACAAATAAGTGAAGGAAAGGAATGGCTTTCCACTAGGGAAGTAATCTGGAAACCCAATCTGCTAGGTCCTGGGTTCTCAACCTGGGGATGGTGATCCCAGAGAGGGGAAGATTCTGTAAACATATTGGAGGAGTGCTGTATAGAAGGATATGAACCACTGTATGAGGTGAATGAGACTTCGGAAAAAAGGCTGTAGGAAATGACCTGTCTTTTCCATTGTAATCTGATTGTGAGCCAAGTAGACGAATCTAAGACTCAACGAAACTGGTGATCTAATCATTTATTAGATTCAGTCATTTAATCCATATCTCAGCCAATTGTTCTCTATGTTTTGTTACTCAATGCTTTGTTGATTCTCGTTTAAATGACCCATAGAGTAATATTTCTCCCACTTTCCTTTGGAACACTGTTCTGATGCATTTGAACAGATCTAGTATAGGCATTTTCCCCTGAAAGTCATCTTTTCCCTTTGTTAACTTTATTCCACTATTTGAAGTATACTCCTTGCTCCACAATATGTTTTTGTTTTAACTTTACAATAATTTCTAAAGGATTACCCTTATTCCCTCTTTTTGTCACCAGGGATGACATATAGCATAGAGTCAAGGTTGGATTGAGAATGGGGCTTTAGGGGCTGCAGCCCGAGGTGCAGGACTCAGAGGCTGTGTCCAGACTCCATGCCTCCGTCGACGGAGGCATGTAGATTAGCCAGATCGGAAGAGGGAAATGAAGCCGCGATTAAAATAATCGCGGCTTCATTTAAATTTAAATGGCTGGGGCCCGCCCC